GTTCATACACACGCACACACGGACACACACACGTATCAAATGACATCATAAGCGTAAGCTAGACCTCCACTCCACTATACAATCAAAATCACACATACGTACGCACACACGGACACATGCACACACACACACACGCACACACATACACACACACACACACACAATACACACGTACCGAATGATATCTCGGGCTTAGGATAAGGATTGGCCACGTCTTCAAGTAGGGAGACAGCCGATGATCTGGCATCCAATTGCCCCACCTCAGTGGCGCTTGGAGCGAACAGCTTGAGCCGTCCAACCGTCTTCACAGAACTCGATCGATGACGTCCTGGGGTGTAGTGTGAGAGAGAAGCATGAAAAACCCAAGATGTATGAGAGGCCAGAAGGTAGTGTGTAGTGTGAGATAGAAGCATGAAAACCCAAGATATATGAGAGGCGACAAGGTAGTGTGTAGTGTGAGATAGATGTCTGAGGGTAGAGAAGGTGGTTAGAGTGGTGTAGAGCGTGTGCTGTACAACTACAGTAATATCACCACACGAGGTATAACATTCATTGGTTTACCACCACCATTCTACACCGTAGAAACCGAGGACACCTATAACAGTACACGTGTACACAGCTACACCCACATAAGCCACCCATATGTACTAGCGTAACAAACGTTCGAGATGTGCGGTACAACTAGATCTCGTTTAGCCGAGTAATAATGGCGACAGCCTTTCCGTCGAGTCTGTCAGAAATAGACTGCAGGGCGCTGCTTTAAAAGAAGAAGAAAAAAAAGAAAGAAGAAAAAAAACAATACTCACCCCTACGATCACAAATAGAGGCAATTATACAACGTCACGTGATAAGCGGTTGGTACACCTTTCCTTATTCGGTCCACAAGTCAATCGCTCACTGGCGTAGCTCGATGGTGTTGTGGCTCTCTCGTGGCAGAAGTTCGGTACAAGATGTACACAGCCACACACTCACGTGGTTCAAGCGCTACACTTGTTATATATGAATACGTATTTGTATCTACCTACATCGGCAATACACACGCATACCCACAAGATACAGGATCTAAATACGTACTGTACATACCTACATTGGCAATACACCCACACACCCACCCAAGATCCACGATCTAAATGCGTACCGGGTACGTATAGCTTCTGAGACTTGGTGTACGAGTCAAACTCGCCATAGCCCAACACAATTGGGTCGTCACCGCCCTCGCGCGGAATGTTCGTCAGCTTGTAGGTAGCTACCTCCAGGGCCACAGACAGCAGAGAAGCCATCTTGGCCCCATTGTCACCCTTGAGACAGGTGAAGTGTGTGCCAGGGTTGTCGTGGTACACGGCCTGACGGGTGGATGGAAGGAGAGATGGGGTGTAGAGAACTCTCAATAATCGTCGGCGGATATATATAAAGACCTATGTATACATACACAGATACACTTACAGACACAGACACACATACACACAATATATTATATATATATGTGTGTGTGTTTGTGTATGTGTGAACAGTTGTAGTGGCAAAATCAACTGCTACCTCCTTTGCCCTTTATGTCTGCTGCACCACACTGGTACGCAAACACAGTGGGTGGATTGGATGGAGGACTGTTGTAGTGCAAGTAGAATCAGAATATATAACTTTGCGTTGTATGTGTCCTTCTCCTATTCCTAAGCCTTGCGAAGCGCATAGTTAGTAAAACATTTAAACCGGTTGTGTAGGTATACTACATGTACGATATGCTGACGACAACAATAGTACGTGTATGTATACCACATGTACGATATGCTAACGACAACAACAGTACGTGTATGTATAACGCATTGTATAGAACGAGAGTGACGAGTGCAGCCGTACCATATATTAAACAGCACCACTTTATATGCGAGTTGAGTGGCAGTGTACACAATCCGTGAGACAAATGTACCTCTACGCGCAATAGGAGAAAAGCAGAAACAACCTAGGAAATAAACAAGACTACACACATACACACTGCAGAGACATCAATTAAAAGGACTATACACATACATATTATAAACTTTCACACTATACACAAACATACCTTACACATACATATTGCAGATGTATATGATCATGAATGTTACACATACACACTGCAGAGGTATCAATTAAAAGGACTATACACATATATACTATAAACTTACATACTAAACACATACATACTGCAGATGTATGAGCATGAATATTCAGTTAGGTATTTGCACATATGCCAATATGTTTTTAAGGTTTAAATACTTCGAGTACACAAGCTCTTCCTATTCGTTAAGGCATCTGTGAACGTAATTTAGCACAAAATCGGAACAAGCACAAACTCAGTACAAGTACAAAAACGTACACATCCACACACGTACACGTACACCTACGTATGCAGGGGCAGGTGAACAACCTCACCTTAGGGCAATGCAAGGACCAGTCCGTCATGTAGTTGTAGTTGTCTTCGTTCTCGATCGCTCGCACCACCATCACCACCCCATTGTAGTTCCGAGGCGTGTAGCTGGATGTGTGCGGAATACAAATGAGAATTGAGCCTAAGAGATTCTCACAGAATGTATTGTTAGTGAACATTCTTCCTATATGCAGCGTTAGTCGAGGCGTAGTAGTAGACCCTATTCCTATATATATAT